GGAGCTGTTAGCTTTTCGGGATGCGATTCGTTGGTGTTTGGCACGAGGTCTTCATTCTATCGTCTTTGCTGGGGATGCACAGGTGGTGATTAGAAGGATTCGAGAAGGTCAGGTTGATGATGTTCAGGGTGGCACGGTTTTGGAAGAAATTCGATGCTTGACGGGCTTGTTTTCGGTGTTTGATATTCGGTTTGTTGGTAGGGATTGTAACAGGGTTGCCCATTTGGTGGCAAGAAAAGCCCTTTCGTTGTTCCCTCACTTAGGAGGGTTCGATTTTGTTTCTTGGCTGTTTTCAGCTGTGTGACTTGTTATATCTGGCTTTCTCGGTAATACGAGTGATTTTTTGGCAAAAAAAAAACATGTTATTAACGGTTTTGTCAATGTTGTTAATAAAAAGTGAGTGGATTATTAATAAGTAATTTTGAACGATATTGCTAATGTTTGATGTTAATAACGAAAGTTGTGATTATCGTCAATCGGCGACCTTGTAGTTATTAACACCTGTTGGTATTCGTGTGGACGATTTTATTTAACGTCATCATAATCCAGTTGACAAGCGATATATTTTTATTGAAGAATGCAACGTTTTCGTTAACAATGATAACACAAAATGATGTTAAAAAATATTGATGACCATGAGTGTTATAAATCCAAATGGGCCTGTCATAATTGTTAATAAAACTGAGTGGGTTATTAACATCTGAAATTAATAATGATTATTCAAAGTCTTCCTAACATGAACACGACAAGCTAATATACCTAATAACGTTGACAATATCAGAAAATATAGTAATAACCAATTTTTTTCGAAAGTAACAAAAATATTTTTTTTTAATTAATAATGATTTTATGTTGTTAATGATACATAGCTTAAGGGGTCGTTTGGATGAGTCTATGTGATGGAGCAATTTGCCTCAATTGCCTCAAAATGAGACAATTGAGTCTAATTACCCCATTTAGCCATAAAAAAATGAACGAGACAATTATACATGGGAGAATGTACATTGCTTCATTTTGGGTCATTTCACATTACCTGAGTGGAGGGCAGGTTTTCTCAATTGGCTCGTTTTTGTGTGGGCCTATGCCAAAGCTACCCTTTTCTTTTAATTTTCTTTTTTCTTCCGTTCCTCCTCCCTCTCCCTTCCTCTGCTGAAAACTCCAAAACCATGGTCGCCGATTCCAGCTAATCTCCTCTGATTCCTCTACTGGATTTTCGCACCCTTGTCGTCGCCACCTAGTTCGCCGCCAACTCCTAGTCTTTTATCTGAAGGCAAGCTTGAGATCCATAGCGAACTTGACTCCATCCTCGCCAAGCTCAACCACCACATCAACGATGGCGAGATTCTCGTCTGCAGCGGGATGCAGGGATCTTCCTCAAAGCGCGTCGCTGCTCGGGCCGAGTCCAGTAACTAGTTGACGCGACTCCAGATCAGGTGCGCCGAGTCAAGGAACTGGGCTATTGACTCGCACCTCTATCTGTTGCGTGAAGATGACAAAAAGTCATGATAGCAATGTCAAGGGATGGTTCCGATCCTCGTTTGATTGCTTGATTTCAACTCATGGGAGACGAAACCCATAATTAGCTCTTACAAATCGTCTATTTTTAATTGAGTTTCTGATTTTATTGTGGAATCAATCTTCTTGCTTTTTCATATGAATCTCTTATTGCTTGCTTTCTTCAGAAAATGCCTTCTTCTGCTAGATTCGTGTCTTTCTTGTGTTTTGATTTCAATTCCTGGGGGTTATGATCATGAGGAGAAGATAGAGGGTGGATAAGTCGTCGCCGACAAAGAACTCCGATCACAGTTGTGCCGGAGAAGTTGTGGGTTGTTGGTCTATTTTGTTTTTCTTCCCCTCTTAGTCGAATTGCTTGATTCGCGGTTGGATTTGATTAAATTGTACAACCTCAATTTTTATTTCTCTTGCGGCAATGAAATATTTTTTTAACGATTCTAAATTTGACGTATCTGGCTTCTGTATACAAGGAATGATCTTTGTGGTCTGTAATTTTTTTGTCTGGTTACAAAGAGTAGGAAAGGAAGATGAAGAAGGGTAATAACTGAGGGCAAAAGGGTATTTCCTGCAAATGTCTCATTCTAATTTCCTCATCTCATATGTCAAACCAAACAAGACAATCTAAGACAAATTTCTCATAGAATTGCCTCATTTTTTAAAATGAGACATTTAACCCAAATTGCCTCATTTTAGAAATGCTCCATCCAAACGACCCAAATGTTGATAAGATTACATTAGATTGTTAATTATGGGCCTGATACTTACATTACAACGTTGATAGCATTACAACAAATTGTTAAAAATGGGCCTGAAACCATTTACAAACTACAAAAAAAACATATTTTGAAAATTGTGTTAAAATCTTTTTATATCGTTGATAATTCATAGCAAAAAGGTTGATAACGTTACCTTGGTTTGATAACAATGGACTAATAAACGTTGATGATTTAAATATTGGACATTGTTTCATAGGTAACTAGCAATTATTTAGTAAAAATTTGTTAACAATCTCTGTGAACATCTTTAATAATATCAAGCATAAACACTGCTAACTTTACATCAGAGCGTTTGACAATGGACAAAAAAAATTATATTGTAAATTGATGATAATTAGTCAAAAAATCAAGAATAATTTAATTTCTAGTATTTGTCTATTTGACGAGAAGAGTATAGTCAATGAAATTTCATTATAAACATGGAAATTTAATTGTTTAGTTAAATTCACTCTGCTGCGGCGGTGATGATGCTCGCGTTGTGTGATGGGGAGAATAACAAGTCAGCCAATAAAAACTAAAAAAATACTAACCTAATGGGATCAATTAAAACCGCCGGTTGTACATGGAAATTGGGAAGGATTCAATTAAAAATAATCAAAATACCATAATTACCCTTAATAACTACTAACTACTTAATAACTACTAACTATCTTATAACCATCCTAGATTAATCTAATGACTAGAATTTACTTAAGAAACTTCTTAAGCTTTGAGGCTTAAGGATCTGAACCTATCTCATTTATTGCTAACGCTGACTTTTAACCATACAACATCAGCGCCTCCTCTCTCCTCGAAAACCTTTAATTATCATTCTCTTAATCTTTAACGCACGATTTCTCACTCATTTTAAGTCGGAATTTAATTTTTTTTGCACAGTTAGATCAGATTAATTGTGCTCTTCAAAATGATATCCACTTTGATATTTTTTGGACATAAAAAAATTTGCCAGTTATTACCAGTCTATACCATATAGTATTGACTGGTATTAAATAAGATCATACCATATGGCATGAGAAAATTTGTCACATCAATATATATTACGTTACCACCCAATACCATATGGTATAGTGTGGTAATATCAATATATATTTCGTTACCACCCAATACCATATGGTATAGTGTGATAATATATATATATATATTTCGTTACCACCCAATACCATATGGTATAGTGTGATAATATCAATATATATTTCGTTACCACATAATACCATATGGTATAGTGTGATAATATCACACAATACCATATGGTATAGTGTGGTAATATCACACAATACCATATGGTATAGTGTGGTAATATCAATTTATAATTTGTTACCACACAATACCATACATTACCATATGGTATAGTGTGGTAATATCAATATATATTTTGTTACCACCGAATACCATATGGTATAGAGTTATAATATCAATATATATTATCTAAAAGAAAAAAAACAGAAGGAGGTAGAGAAAAAAAATCGTCTTATGTCGCCTCTCATTTCCTCTTCCGCAATCAAGAACACCAAAATGCCGAAAAAATGAGAAAGATCAGAATTGAGGCCAACGAGATGATGAAGAGAAGAAATGCAATGAAAAAGAGTGGCTGCAAATTTTATTCGTCCTAGAGAAAAAAATAAATAAGAAGAGAAGGGAATAGATTTAGATCTCAAAAGGAGATTGAGAGAGAAAAAGGAAGAGAGAAGGCAGAGAGAAAGAGAGAGGATATGGAAAAGAGATTGGGAGAGAAAAATAGGAAGAGAGAAGGAAGAGAGAAAGATAAATGAGAGTTGCAAAGAAGTGATGATTTCTCTTTCATCCTTTGAAAATGCAGCCATTAAATACGAAATAAAATAAAATAAAGAATTTAATGTATAAATGGACAAAAATATCATTCCCCACTCAGCGTCCGGCTCAACCACACGATTGGCTGCCTCCTAAATCTACGGTCTCTATTTATTACTGACCCTATCTCCTGCTGGTTTATACTATTATGTCGATTTAGCAAATGATATGGTGTGACTAGTAGATATTTGTGCTAGTTTATGTCGTTTAATAAAATATATATGTTAAAATATAAAAAAATATTTATACCAAATGAATTAAACATGATCAGCCAATAAATTGTGGAGCTTCCAAGAGATAAAGTTCAAATTGACTTTTAGTATTATAAAATGAAACATAATATAGCGCCATTATTAATTTTTAAATTATATGTTAGTTCTGTAGTTTTCGTAGTCTCACGAGATCAATTTCAGTAGTTGATGACACTTTGAGTACATAACCATTATTAATTGAAGGATTACCTAGGGTTTTTTTATCCTCTTTTCTCGGAGGGCGGCTGAAGGCGAACTGCGGCTAGGGTTACGAAAAGATGTCGGCGGACGTTGTGCCGCCGGCCGGGGGGAAGTCTTCGTCTCCCCCACCGCCTGAGGTGGTCGCCGGCCAGCGTAGGCCGCCTACGGAATCTTCATCCCCGAACACTAAAGGGCATCGGGAGGCACAACACACCAAAAAACGCGCGAAACCGACGGCTCCGAACAGCCAGGTGGAACCAGAGGGGGTGCACCACCGGGAGGAAACAGCCGACCGGAGATCACCGCCGCTAAGCCCGAGGCCAACGTCTGGTCGCAGGGGGCGAGGGCAGCTCGAAGACTTTTTGGCGGCGAGGGCCGCATGAACGAATGGTATATTGCTGATTCCGATAGCGAGGACACCGCAGCGGCGATGCGGCAGGATGTCCTGGACGAGGGGTTTGATGGAGAAGAGGATCCCACGTGCCCGCCCATCTACTTCACCGCGGCGGAAGAGCGTATGTATTGTCGCAACCTCCGGTTTGCCCTCGTCGTAAAAGCTTTGGGCAGGTCAGTTTCTTACACGGCGGTCTCACTCCGGTTGAACAAGATATGGGCCAAGGCAGGAGGGATCCAAGTCACATCCATGAAGAATGGTTATTTCCTGGTTCACTTTACTAGTGGCCTCGACTACGACCGGCCGGTCACGAATGGTCCATGGATGATTGGACAAAACTATCTCTCAGTGCATATGTGGGACCGCGATTTCGACCCGTACAACCATGAAGTCTCCTCGACTCTAGTTTGGGCTCGGCTGCTTGAAATTATGCTTGAACGGTGGGACCTATGCTGAACGAGGTGCATGCTACGGTAACAAAACGCAAACACCTATGGAGGCTGAAGCTGATGAAACCGAACCTACTCCACCGCCCACACAACCGGAGAATCTCTATGGGGAGTGGATGATCGTGAAACGCAAACCTCGTTCTTCCAAGAAGGAGGTGGGGACAAATTCAAACCGGTGAGGATCGAACGTCAATAAAGCACAAAAAAAGGCTGGGGGGTCACGGTTTGCGGCTTTGGACGAGGAGACTGACATGCATATGGAGCCATCTGAGCCCGAGATTGTTACTAGCGAGCCAAATAAGTCCAAACCGCAGCGCAACCAAAGCTGAAATAAACACACAAAGGTGCAGGAATAAGTAACGCCTGCTTCGAAGGAGAGAAATCCAAATAGTGACACTCGTGAGCCAACCCCGAAGACCGCACAAAGTAAAGGGAACGGGAGATACTCACGTGAAACCAAGCACGGTGAGACGGACCAGGCCATGCAGGATACCCACACTGAACTCAGGAAGGACGTGGTTTTGGAGAAGTCTCCCATGCATGGTGGTGGGAAGGCAAAGGAACCTTTGATTCAATCATCGACCTCCACTGGATTGAATGGCCGGCGGCCTGACACATACTCGTGCATCCAACCAATGAGCTCCGGGATCCGGACGAGAGCATGAAGATACACTCTTCGGGGAAACATAGCGACGGGATCCACCCGTCGAACTCATGACCTAAGGGAGTCTCTTTCCAACCCTATTTTTTATGGATTATAAAAAAATTTCATGGAATTGTAGGGGAGCAGGGGGCAAGGGTTTTTACGTGCTTTTCATGAGTATCGTAGAAAGTTTAAACCTCAAATTGTGATTATCGTGGAACCTAGAATTAGTGGGGACCGCGCTCTGAAAGATATTCGGGATATGGGTTACGACAAAGAACTTGTAGTTGATGCAGTTGGTTTCTCTAGGGGCATTTGGATTCTTTGGAATTCAAGTGACCTTACCATTACCAGAATTCATTCTCACCAACAGTGTCTCCACGTGCAGGTACAGGGTCGGCTGCAGCAAGATCTTGCATGGCAGCTATTGACAATTTATGGTTGCCCAGCACCGATGCAACGGCGTGAGTTATGGGACTTTCTACGATTCATTGCTGAAGGGATGACCCAGCCTGGCTCTTGGTGGGTGACTTCAACTCTATCATCAGTCCAACTAAAAATTTAGGGGGTGCCCCCTTTGATGCATCCCGAATTCGCGACTTCCAGGATGCCGTACAAGACGGGCCTCCGGGAAAGGCTTGACCGGGGCATGGCAAACAACTCTTGGATCTCAGCATTCCCAGAAACAGTGGTTAGGCACCTGCCGCGTATGAACAAATCGGACCACCGGCCGCTTCTAGTTTCCTTGAGAGGGCCACACACTCTCGCCAGACCCAAGCCATTCCGGTTCTTGGAAGCTGGCTTACACATGAAGACTTCTGGGAAATGATGGATGAAGCCTGGGCAAAGGGACATTCCTTCACATCCTCGGCCGAGGCTTTCGCCCGGGATGTTAAAGTGTGGAACAGAAATGTTTTCAGCCATGTTACCAGAAGGAAGGACAACCTACTTCGTCGGATTGAAGAGTTAGAACAGAACGATAATGGTACATGGAACTCTGCTCGGCTCCAACAAGCTCAGGAAGAGCTCGAGTTAGTACTCTTTCAAGAAGAGCTCCTCTGGTGCCAGAAATCCAGATTGAGTGGATTAACTTGGGGGACAAAAACACGGCCTATTTCCATGCCAGGACCCTTAGGAGAAGGATCAGGAATCGGGTTGCTATGCTGAAGGATGAAGAGGGGAATTGGATCGAGGACAAGGCTATGCTCCTGGAAATGGCAAGGATCTATTTCAGCCGGCTGTACCAAGACGAGGGGGGAGACCTACCAGCTCTCCAGGCTAACTTTCCAATCCTCGAGACCGCTAGGTGGCAACCGCTTTCCGCCACGCCGAATATGGAGGAGATTCGAGTGCTATCCAGGCAATGGGTGCTCTCAAAGCACCAAGGAAGGACGGTCTCAACCCGATCTTTTTCTAAAAATGCCGGGAGACGGTTGGTCAGTCGTTAACGAACTTCGCGGTCGACTGTTGGAACAACCCGGAGAAGATCAAGGAAGTGAACTCCACAATACTGGTCCTTATTCCGAAGCTGCAGCAACCCACCACCATTGATCAATTTAGGCCGATCAACTTATGTAATGTGGCCTATAAGGCGGTTACCAAGTGCCTGGCAGAAAGACTAAAAAAACTTAATGCCCTCCCTAGTCCATGAAACGCAAACCAGTTTTGTCCCTGGTCAACATATAACCGATAACATTTGCATCTTGCAGGAAGTGATTCACTCGATGAGGGCTCGAAAAGGAAGGCGAGGTTGGATGGTATTGAAGGTGGACCTAGATAAGGCCTATGACCGGATAAGATGGGGCTTTGTACAAGACACTCTAATTGCCGCAGGGGCCCCTAGGAGATTCGTTGAGCTGACTATGGCGTGCATATCATCGACATCCATGCAGATTCAATGGAACGGGAGAATGACGGAGAACTTTCAGCCATCCAGGGGTCTCCAACAGGGGTGCCCCCTCTCTCCCTACCTCTTCACTCTCTGCATGGAAAGACTGGAGCGCATCATCGACGAAGCAGTACTGGGTGGTAGATGAAAACCTATTCAGCTGTCGCGAGCCGGACCAGCACTCTCTCACCTTTTCTTTGCGGATGACCTGATCCTGTTTGGGGAGGCGACCAAAGCTCAGGTGCAAGTGATCAATGACTGCTTCGAGCAGTTCTGGGCTTCCTCAGGACAACAAGTCGGTAGGCCAAAGTCTCGAGTGTTTTTCTCACCTAATACCACTACGGAATGTCAAAATAGTTTGAGTGTTGAGGTTCAGATCCCGGTTACTCAGAATTTGGGAAGATACCTAGGTGTCCCGGTCATTCATGATCGGGTTTCAAAGGCCACTTTCCAGGAGCTTATTGACAGGATAGACACCCGCCTGGCAGGATGGAAAGCGTCTACTTTATCTCTAGCAGGACGGATCACTCTGGCTAATTCGGTGTTGTCATCTCTTCCTGCTTACACAATGCAGACAACTTTTCTCCCTGCTAGTGTGAGGGAGAACATTGATAGGAAGATCGGAGCTTTTATTTGGGGTAGCACCGACCAGGGCCGTAAGATTCATCTAATTGACTGGGAAACGCTCTGCCGACCAAAAGCTGGGGGGGGGGGGGGCTGGGGCTGAGGGACGCTACTAGAACAAATGAAGCTTATATGTTGAAAATTTCCTAGAGGATTCTCACCAAACCGGACGAGATGTGGGCTAGGGTCATCCTCTCGAAATACTCAAGGCAAACAATAGAGGGCAGGCACTATCTCACCACTAGACGGATCTCGAACCTCTGGAGAGGAGTGCTTCGGTTGCACACTTAACTGATGAAGCGACGGCGTGGAACGTGAGGAATGGCCTCACGACCAAATTCTGGAGTGATCGGTGGCTGGACGATACCACTATCCTCAAAGACCACGCGCAGAACCTACCTCCGGAGCTGCTCAACATGTCAGTCGCCGATTTTGTGCTTAATGGTAAGTGGAACACGGATTTTCTTCATTTATTCTTACCCCAATCGCTTGTTTCGCAGGTTATGCTCCATCCTATCTTGACGGAGGCGGAGGACGATGTGCGTGTGTGGCACTTCAACTCAAACGGCGAATTTACCTTGCGCACGACGTATGACATGAAGGACACAATGGAGAACCAAGCTCTTGGCCAACCAATTTGGCGATCGGTGTGGAGAACGCCGACCATGCAAAGAATTCGTGCGTTCCTTTGGCTGATGAACCATAATCCCCTGCTGACGACCAACACCAGCTGCAAAAATTTTGGAGGAGGCCCGGAAACGACATTGCACCCTCTCCGGGACTACCCCTATGCCCGCGCGACTTGGGCAGAGTTACTCGGCGGGGAGCCTGACTCACGTTTCTTCGAGCCAGATATGCACAGGTGGTCTCTGTATTACACTTCTGATAAGAGTGATACCATCGACAACACTCTTTTTGCAGGGACTTGTTGGCTTCTGTGGAAGAATCAGAATGGTTACGTGTTCCGAGGGGAGCTAAAGACTCATACACAAATCCAGTTTCATGCAAAACAGCTCCGAGATCAGATCATTCAAGCACTCGAGAAGGAGAGATCCATATTCGGAGAAGGGGGACTCCGAGAGCAGCACCAAATTGGCTGGCAACCACCGACGCAGGACTGGGTCTGTGTCAACACGGATGGCTCAGTCACTTTCTCTCCAGAGAGCACGAGCTGCGGCGGCATCATGCGGGGAGTGATGGCCGGTTTCTCAAAGCATTCACTGCGAACCTTGGAGGGGGTTCGATCCCTCGTGCAGAGCTGGCTGGTATTGTGTATGGGTTGGATCTTGCCTGGGAACATGGAGCCAGGAAGGTGATTCCACAGACTGACTCGTCCACTTCCAAGAACCTTATTGACAAGGCGACTCGAGACACAACCATATCACTCAAGTTGCAAAGATCAGGTAGAGACTTAACCGAAACTGGACCGTTAGGATTGATCATGTGTTCCACGAAGCAAATTTCGCCTCAGACCATTTAGCTTCTTTGGGTAACTAACACCCTAACCCGGCCGGGTACTACTTTTACTAAAATGCCCTTGACAAATAAAATACTCAAATCTTAAATTGCAGCGAGAAAAATTTTCATAAATAAAATACTGAAAACACACTTGTAGTTATGAGCAAAGCCCCAACACGTGGGCAAATTAAACTTAAACTTTAAATCTCAATCTGATCTCCAGTCTATACTCATAATCATAAAGTAAATAACTAATAATCTCTAACGTTGTTGTTACTAACAACATTGACTAAACATCCGTTGTGACGCTTATACTGCCCTCCTCTAGTTGTCTGCCCTCGAACTCGATGCTCACTAACTGCTCCTCCAGTTCTTCCTCTAGCTCATCAAACTGGTGAGTGAGATGGAGTTAGTCTACGCCCTTACGTGTAATATTCTTACTGCTTAGTACTTTACTTAAAACACTTACTTAAATTTGTGGAAGTTGTTCGTACTTCGACTCTTAAAATTCCTAACTCTTAAAACTGTATGGGAGTTACTGTTACTCTCCATTCTTAAAGCTCAAATCTCGACTTAAATACTTGACTGACACTGGGATCCCCCACTAGCTAGTCCGGTTGCCAACTCATATGTATGAGAAGCCATAAAGGCTTTTCTTAAACTTAAACTTAGTTAGGGGAGTCGTAATGATTCATCCCCCTAACATCTTAAACTTATCGTGGTGGCTCTTCACCACGATTCTCAAGAGCATAACTGCTGCTCATCTTAAAAGTCTCAAGAGCATAACTGCTGCTCTGTCTCAAAGATCTCAAGAGCATAACTGTTGCTCTATCTGAAAATCTCAAATGGCAACGGACTGACGCTAGTGACTAAAAACACTTAAAACGACTTCACCTTCTTGAAGGTGAGTTACTTCTTAAAAAGAACTTGTTTCTTAAACTTTAACAATAACTCAAACATAACGCTTTAAGGTAAATAGCACAAAATCACCTCATATCACCTCAAATAGCACAAAATCACCTCAAATCATAGCTCAAGCAAAGCACAAAGAATCAAACATAAACATAACCAAGCAACGGTAACCAATTCGCTAAAATACTTAAAATCATAATACTTAAAAGAATACGTAAGGCGTAGAATTTACCCCCTTTACACTCATCTTGATCATAGAATTGATTGATTTGATCTAACCGGGTCCATCTGAAAACTTCAACTTTCAAATCTTGTACTGCACGTGTTAATTCCCACTTCGAATAAGGCTCCTCCCATTACCCCTGATGAACCCCTTGCATCTCATTACCCATCCCATGCGTAGAAGTATTTTCTCATCTGGCTTCTCCTCCCAAACGACATTGCGTTTGTTTCATTCTTCTCAATCTCAGCCTCTTCCAATTCCAACGCGTGGCTTTTGAAAACAGGCATACGATGAGCTGGTGGTTGCGTGTGCGCTTGACGGCATAAAGGAGAATGATTGGTGAAGGTGGCGTGGAGGCTTCCAACGGGCTTCTTTGGCCGAGAACTGCTGGGGAGAGCGGTTTCTTTCTTTCCCATCTTCTCCTCGCCGCCGAGGTTAAAGTGAGGGGTGGGGAATAATTGAGGGCCGCTCGGCCCTCTAGGTTTATATATATAATTTTTTTTAATTATAGTAATAATAATAATAGTTATTATATTTAGTTCTAATCCACGGTTGTAACTCTTAGTACGTAACCGCCAATCCAACCGATCACGTATTAAGGTCGAATCTGAACCCAAACTTCGGGGTGTTACAGGGTCACTCCCGTTCGATCGGGGTGCATACTTTAGACAGGCCTGGCACTAAGCTCATGTACTGGCTGTTCTTTGATCGTGTGGGGTGTGAAACTCCCCGCTTTACTCGTGCTTAATAAAATTTAGGGCGCCCTTAGCGCCCTGTTCTTACCAAAAAAAATTCAGTAGTTGACACAACTAATCCATATTAAGGTTTCTTGTGTCATTTTTCAAAAATAGGACTTTCGAACTCTCAAACATGAATTGAACAATCATTATATGTGTCTCGTGTAAATGTATACACGAGGATATTGACCAATAACTAGTACTAATATTAATTAGGGCTAATATCACTATAAAATTTGAACTATCCAAAAATGTCATTTTTGTTCTCAAGTATTCCATATGACAATTTTGACACGAAGTATGAGACTATTATGACATTTGTGTCCTGTCAATTTCATTGACCGTTAGAGATAACGGTTGCCCAAACGGTGGTTAAAGTGATGTTGACATTTGATGACGTGACAAAAATTTGGCAGTCACATAAATGCCACACCATTGACACATCAAATTTATTATTCAAAATTAAATTTATAAGAAATAGAGAAATTCATCAAAATTAAATTATCGGTTTTTGTGATTTCTATGGAATTCCCGTCACCATATAATTATTGTGGTTTCTAAAGGAGGAGCAGGGAACACCAAACTTTCGTCCAATATCTTATTTACATTCTTCTTACTCGAACCCTTTCCCTCTTCATCTGTAGTGGTGGATCCAGGGGTCTTCCCCGAGCCACGGTTCAACTCTCCTCTAGATCCAAATCTAGTATAGCACTTGTAAATTTTCGATTTTAGGTATTCGTTTTAGTGTTTGTCGGGTTATGGCACAACCTTCTCCACCTCTTTTCAAATGTGGCTCAGTGCTCTACCCTATCCTGGATCCGCCGACGTTCATCTGTTAACAACAATCTCTCCTCCGCCCTCCCATCCATCGCCAAAGCCCAATTATCCTCTTCAAACGCCTGCCCATAGTATACTATCAAATTAGCTAATGGACGTAGGTGATATGGGGAGGCCCACTAATATTCGAGGCCTTGTGCTAGAGGGCCTCCTGGCACACCTCATGGCCACCTTTGAAATGTAAGCATATATAAAACATATTTGAAGAAAATTTACTTAAAATCTATATCCATATTAAATAAAATACAACATTCCAACAAAAATAACACATACTCATACTTAAATACAACATTCAACCACTACAAGAATTGTCACATATAGCCACAAACTCATAGCTACGATTAATAAAATCGTAGCTAAAGATAATTAATAGCTATGAAATTTCATCTCTATAGCTGTTATGAGTTTTACCAGTCACAAATGTTACCCATTGTAGCTAATCATACTATTTTGATTCGAATGGTTTGTACCGTAGCTATTGATGTACTTTATGCCACAAAATTTTTGCTATGCTAAAATGTCATGGCAGGTTGGTGAGGTTTAGCTATAAATGACAATTGTTCATGGCTATGGCTATTTGATCAAATTATTTTCACCCACCAAAACTATGTTTGTAACTGCATGTAGGCTGTAGCAATCAGTTACGGAGTTAAAACTATGTAGCTTCTAAGCCATATATTTGGCTACGAGAGTATGAACTAGTGGCTAAAAGCTTTTCATTTAGCCATTAAAATATACAATCGATTTGACCAAATTCTACTTTTGAGAATTCATTAAGTATTATTCTTTATATAAAGACTAGGGGTTGGAAATTGTGACTTATGAAAGTATTTGTGTGTGTAAAATTAATCAAACATGACATTTATTATGAATATTTTTGTTCAATACGTACTATAATTTTAGAGTAGATACTTTTGAGAAATTTTGTAAATTATTAAATCTTAAGTAAACATTATAAAATTTGACTTCCGATTTTACCTCTAGAAGGTTCTATCCTAGAAATGATATAAAAATAGTCATTTGAAAAAAAATTCTATCTCATTAGGGGTGGAATCGGTCCGGTCGAGGCCAGATTGGATCAAACTCAGGAAAACCACTTTCCAATAGTGAAAGATATTTTAGGATCAAAGACCAAACCAATATTGCATTCAGTTAGTTTTGGTCCACTTTGATCCGGTTCAAATGTCAATTCGGTCCATTTTTCTTCAGTATTTATAAAATTCATGAGACCAAGGACCGTACCATATTATATTCAATTTGGTGTGGTCCGGTTCAAAATCGATTCGGTCCGATGTAATCCGATATGGACCAATCCATTGCCCATCCCTACTCCTCAGTCCTCATACATAATAAATTTTCTCCCACCACATTACTAATTACTTATATAAACTAAAATATTTAAATATAATGATGGCAAACGAGTAGGGGGACGAGTATCAATTCCCATACATACCCATCCAAACAAAGCACGAGTGGGGTTGGGTATTGCGCAAATATGGGTTGGGGCAGGTCAGTCCATTCTCACATAATATTTGAAAAAAGTGAAAATTTGATTTTTTACGATAAAACAAAGGGAATACACTTTATCAATGAAAACATTTATAATAGAATGAGTTATTGAGTCTAACTAGTTGAAAAGTCAAGTAATGCAACATTTTAAAGTTTTATTAGATGAAGATAGATTGAAGAAAAGAAGAAGAAAAAATATGAGAAAAGAAAGCTACTGAGAAAAGAAAAAAAAAAAGAGAAACAGCATGAGTCAAGAATGTTGTGGGCTGAAAGTTGAGTAACTTATGAAGTCTTTGATTGAAGGATAACTTAGAACTTGAGAACTTTTTAATTGAGTTTAATATCCTAATGGTTTGAACTTGAGACCTATAAAGTATTGGTATTTTGAGGTATCAATTGAATTTGCACCATAACAAAAGTATAAGTTCATTTTTATCATTTGGGAATTTGCTCATATGTGTTATGGTACAAGTTCAGTTTGTACCATAAAATAAAGGTACAAATTTAGCCATAAAGAAAGTTGTATCCTTAATCATTTGGACTACAAAGTTGTGCACCACTAATTGATTATTGAGTCCTTTTACTAACTATAAAGCATTGATGTTTCGCATTACAAATTTAACTAGTACCATAACGTTAAAGGTATAAGTTCAGTTTGTACCATAAAAAAATTTGTACATATTTGTTATGGTACAAATTTAGATTGTACCATAAAGATAGTTATACAAAAAGGTATAAGTGCAAACCAAATATGTAATATAACGTTAAAAGTACAAATTCAATTTGTACCATAACAACAAAAAAGTGAAACCCTCATGTTATAAAGTATTGTAAAATTCTTTGAGGTATTGAAATTTATTGTTAGTTTATATTGTAACTAAACAATTGGTCTGACAAATAGTTGTAAACACTTAATTGAGAGCCAATGGATTGAAGGGATTGTATAGGATGCTAAGAGTATCATACCAATGAAATTGTAAAATCAATTTTGTATAACCAGTTATGCAATCTGATTCATATGAATTTTTATGGTACCTACATCAATACAATTTACTTGCAATTGCATATGTGCTTAAATTAGGGGATAAAAAAATACAGAAAATAGATTATTTTATTGCAGAAGCTCATTATTCACCTTTTTATAGCCCACTTTGGCTTTCACATGCAATGGCATTTCTTGCAAGATTGCGAATATGCAATGGATGTCCACATCATGAAATTCGTCTTGTAATTGCAAAAGCTCATATCATGTCATCTTGCAATTTAAAATAAAGGTTAAATACAATTTAATATCCAAACCTTTAATTTTAAACAATATAATAACCAAACCTTTTCGAAAACAATCTAATATCCAAATCGTCAACTTTCCGTCCGTTTGACCGTTAGTTGACACTTCAAAAAAGCTTTGTTTAGGGGAAATTGTCAAAATAGAGCTTTGTTTTCTTGTTTTGGCATTGAAGATGACTGGATATTTAGATATTCTATACCATAATGGTGGAGTCATGGACTTCTCGGGTTTGGAACCACGATATGTTGGTGGTTTTTGAGAGAAGATATCGATGGATATTGATGAAGTGTCGTACTTAGAACTTGATGAAGTGTCAACTAACGGTCAAACGGACGGAAAGTTGACGATTTGGATATTAGATTGTTTTCGAAAAGGTTTGGCTATTATATCGTTTAAAATGAAATGTTTGGATAATAAATTGTATTTACCCTAAAATAAAAGACCAATGTAGATGCTTTAATACCTTATTTGTTAACATTATGCTAACATATAATTATAAGAGGTATTATGATAACTACTTTACATATTAGTTACTCCATCACATACTCTTTATGTGTTAAAAATCAGTTGTCATTGTGGTCAACCCCTTAAATATAAAAAATCATCACAATATAATGTTCCTATTGGCTGGAGTTTTTGTAGCACCATGCTAACAAATTGGATGTTACCACCCTGATCTAAACTTGAATGGAATTATATCAAAATAAATTATTTAATTGCATTATAATTTCAATTGTCAACGTTCTTACTTTTTTTAAAGGCAAAATTCATTTGTGTAGCCAAAACTTTCACGTTTATGACAATAATAGCCACTTTTGGCGAAATACCAAATATGACCAGAATTTTGAAAATTTCATGACAAATATAGCCATTTCCGTTACATATTTTAATGGTGTTAGTGACACCGATAGTCAAATTAACGGAACGCTAATCTGTCTGCCAACTCAGCGTCCACGTCAGCGACAACACAACCATTGGTGGACACGTATATGACACGTGTCATTTTAATTAATATTTAAAGTGTTTTCATAAAAAATTAATGTAAATTATAAAGTAAATATTATTTAATATTTAATTACTTTTTTATCCCCATTGTATCTTCCCTTTCCTTTTCTTTCATCTCTTTGCGCGGATCTGTTCTTCCCAGAAATATCAAGTTCCAGAACCCTCCATAACTTTCCAAACCCAAACAAACGTACAATTTCAATATCATCTATACCATCAATCCCGTAAGAACATAAATAAAAACAAAAAAGGAATTTCATCAAACACATCGGCGACCTCATCTCCCACATCCGTCTGTGAAATCGAATCCGTCGACCCCCATGGCGGTGTCGAAAGCAGAAGAGGTGCTCGATTCTCCTTTCCTGTAGTTTGGCGCTCAATTCTCCTTCGTTGTTGTCTGTCTATGTCATGGATTTGAGGCATCGAGGAAGAATCATGATCTGGCGGCGTTGAGAAAGAATCTAGGGTCCCAAATCCACTACCGCCCTCAAAATACGGCGTTCCCTCAACCACCGCCCCCAATCCCTCTTCCATTGCCAATTTTTGAAGGGGTTTTTCGAGGAGCCACTTGAACCAGAGCAAGCGCTGTTGTGCATCTCGCGGATGGCAGTAGAAGAAGTGCTCTTGACGACGGAGGAGGCATCGGCGCTGGGTAAATTTGGGCAGAAGACGACGGATTGGGGGTTTTGTTGTTGGGGAGAGGAAGATGGTTGGCAGAGGGAGATTGAGGTGAAGATGAGTGATTTTCGGAGATTGCGATGAAGATTGCGATGGCAGAGGGAGATTTTTGCGGGAGAGAGGGAGATTGAGATGGCAGAGGGAGATTTTCAGTGGAGAGAGGATTTTTTTATTGTTTCTATAAGAAATGAAAATGGAATTTCATTTCCAATTCTAACTTTTATGAAATTCCATTTCCAATTTTTGTGTTTGGTATAATTCTCACATTTATAAAAATGAATTGTACTTTTAACAATTAATTAATACTTTAGTATTTTTTTTAGCTTGAGAAATGAGATATAAGTGAGAGAGAAAGAGAGAAATATCATAGTAGAGTGATAAAATAACAATAAATGTGTGTGGGTCCCACTAATTCCATCTCCATAAAGTCAATTCCTATAACTTTTGATAGGAATTCTAATTTCCATAATTTGGATCAAATGGAATTCATTTCCCAAAATTCTTCCATTTCCAAACATAGAATAATGAAATAGAATTGGAAATGGAATTTTAATTCCTCTTTTTTATCCATCCAAACAGGTTGTAAGAAATTTCATGCAATAGATATTGGAAGAAAAGAAATATGAATCAATCCATAAGTCTAGAAATAGCTACATTCTATAGTGTTTCCTCAAGAAATTGAGGTTTAGTTCATGACAAAAATAATATACGCAATCAGGTTCTTGTTCATCATATTACTAATAACGAGAATGAGAGAAAATACTGATATGAGAGAAAGCACAAATTCCGATTTTCTCTCCCAATCGGAGCTACTACTGATCCGCTCCAATCGCCGCTCGCAAGTCCTGCCTCGTCAAAGCTTTGCTCTTGGCCAGTCGCGCAGCACTGCCATTCTCCCCCAAAAGAAGTTGTCTTTTTCTCCCGGTTGGCTTTAATACCTCAAGCTCCTCGTCCAACTAATTCTGTATTGCTCTCTAATAGTTCCCTTCTGGTCCCTGTCCAACTTTCGCGTTCCACTTAATTCTCTCCCTCCGGAGAGGGTGAACAACTTGGGCAATTTTTATCCCAAGAGTGAACCAAAATCCCTCTCCAATTGTAGGTCTCCAAATCCCCGCTAACAAGCTCTGCCCATCTCCAATTATTCGGCCCAAAGAATCCTCCAATTAATTCTGGTTCCCTAGTCCAAAGAAATCTTCTCCAAACACTGTGTTCCATTCATGGACAAGAAGACAAAGAATTTGGTCCATTTAATTTGAAGAATGTCCCTCTTAATTCCTTCTCTGCCTCCTTTTGTTTCCATTCACCACAAGGGAATTGTTCCCTTATCGAAACGATATGCATCAATAGAGGGGGAGGTCAATCCATCCAAGCTCTTGCTCCAATTAGTTCTATACCAGCTTTTTTTGTGCTTCTTTTTCCATTTACTTGTGCTACTGGAATCCGCATGTGCTGTCATTTTATCATTTTCTCCACCTGAAATACATAATTTTTTTTTAACATAGGGCGGTAATGGCTTTTCAACCATTCCATAGTCCATTGTCCCTAAAACAAGCATCATATATCTCAAACATATCATGAAATAATCACATTAGGCACACAAAATCGATATATTTTTAACAATTATCATACCCCCACACTCAATACTTACTTGTCCCTTAGCAACGACTCATGCAAGAGAACGATGATTGGAGGAAACACAACACAGACTAGGGAGACACAATCCTGCTCAAAACACAAGACCCATGACACATAAAACACAAGATTAATACCATAAATTTATCTTTGTACTCCTGTGATAATCAGTAGTTTCTTTCTTACTGGATGAGATGTGCTTTAATAATCATACTTCTCACCCCACACCCATAGTCTTTGCAACCATTGACCTGACTAACTCAAATCTGGTACAACCTACCAAATTAGCAAAACACAATTTCGATTGTCGGTAGTGGGTAATTAACAACTTATAGTGCAACGGTTATTAGGAGAATGTAACCACATCAGTGAGGTGCATATCTCGTGAGGATATTCTGGCTTACTCTCTTCAATCATAAGCAACCAACTAAGCACAAGAGTCTAAAAAACACATGTGGGAAGCATTTAGAAAACTTGGTTTGAACTTTAAGCACATCACTACCCTTTTTTTACAAGGAGAGTCTTTCTCTCTTTCTGATTTTGCTTGCCGAGTAGTCGTATTTAGTACATGTGGGATTTGTTTCTTACTACCGGTGACCGAGCAAGAGAAATTCTTGCTTCTTAGTACTCGCATAAAGGACTTCTTTTAAATCCTTTTCCTCAGTCCGTATGGAGGGTCAATGCACATTCTCAAACAACACTTCACTCGGGAGGGGATTGTACTTGATAAGCAACATTGTAGAGTCGTGAACCGATGCTCAATTGAACCTTTCCTAATCCCCCTGTGCAATGAGTGATTGCCTAACACGATTTTGGCACTTTACCCACACTTTAATTGTTATGGCAACTTTATGATATTTTACTTGTCATGTAGGATTTTTTATTTTATAATTATAAAGTTCACCCCATAAAAAACATTCAAAACATAGAGACTCATTGGCAAAGATAGAAACTTACAAGTGATGCAAGTAAACACGATATCCAAACATATCAAATGGTCAATGTTTTGCATATAATCGCTTTACCCATAGCTATGACATTAGCCTCCCACAAGAGAATGTTGCTAAAAGAGTTTGCTAATTTAAAGCATATCAAGTCAGTCAAAACATCAAGCTCATTGTAAAGAACTTTGCAATTCAACACTAGTGGAGCGATTTTGATGATTTCATTCATGCACAAACTCATTTAAAAAGGCATCACGGTCATTCACATCATGTTACTGATGTGATCATGGATTGTGAACAAAACCATTCCCATTGATTTTCAATGAAGAAACCAAGTCAAGGGAAGAAGAAGCTGGAAATTTGGCAAAGTCCGGAAAACAGCTCATGGTACCTACTTTGGGAGCTGACTCGTTTTGTTTGGGAGACATTTGAGGGAATCTAGGTGTGGGTAATGAGAGTCAAGTCTTGATAAAGATCGTGAAAGAGTTGGGTGAGAATATTGAAGCTTTCTGGACACCAAACGAGCAGCATAGAGATCATATGGTGATCAAGAAAAATACCCTATCATGTGGGTTAAAATTTCCCTATAGGGGATCTGAGGTTCGAGATAGGGTATTTGGATCAGAAGGATCCTCCATCATGAGGGTTAAAATACTCGATAGGGTATTTTATGGTGTCGATAGGGTATTTTGGGCTGACGAGTTTTAGTTACTTTTTTGTTTAGAATTCTTTTTCCTTTTCTATACTTTTATCAGTTTAATTTTTAAGAGCTATTTAAAGGGTTGTAAATTTTGTTTTTAGGGAGATTATGTTGAATAGAAAAAACCTTTTCGGTTCATAGAGTGTTCACTCGTGAATTTTGTCCTTGTTTTTTGGTAGATCTCCAACATTCGAGCGAGCTCTGTATCAATCAGGTATTCCCCTTGATTGTGATCGAGTTGCTACCCTTATATTGTTCGAGCCTTCTCGTGATTTTGTCTTGAGATTTCATGAAAATTCCCGCCATATCCTTCACTTTTTGAATTGTTGAGAGAAAATATCATAAAAACCCTAGAAAGATTGAAGCTACGCGACTTTGACAAAAGAACCTAAGTTTTCACGAGCTCGAGATTCTTTATTAGGTGGTATCAGATCTCCGACTCAAATTAGTGGATAGGAGAAGAAGATTACAAGCTTTCTGCAAGTTCCGGCAATGGCAGAAGAGCTAGAGTAATGTAATATGTTCTATACTCGTTGCTGGGTCCAAGAGAAATTGTGGTCTATGGTTGTTGATGGAGAGATCAAATCCAACTTTATCAGTTCAATGACAGTAGCTAAGTTAGGGCTAGCTACACATCAACATCCTTGCCCTTTCTTATTGCGATTGTCGGTGTAAATTCCTTTGTCTATGTGATTGAACAAGTTATCTTAGAGATCAAAATTGGGTCTTATTAATATTAGATTCTTTGTGATGTTGTGCCTATGAAGCTTACTCATGTGGTACTTGGTCAACCATGGCACAATGATCGCCAAGCCCGATGAAGCAGTCGCACCAACAACATTATCTTAAGGCGTCAAGAAAAGAAACTTGCCTTGAAGCCATTATCTTTGGAAGAGGTTGCTGAAGATAGGAGGCAACTGCAACAGGCTTATGAGGAGGAGCAGAAGGTCGAAGAAGCAAAAACACCTCCAGATCAGAAAGAAATCGAAGAGGTTACAATAGAGGAAAGTGGTGAAGTAGAAGTGGTTGAGTTAAAACAAATTGAAGCAAGCTATCATAATCCTTTTTTGTTTTGATCTTGATCAAGACTTGAGATATATGAGTCTTCATGCTTTGAGGGCAAGGATTTTTCAACGGGGAGGGACTGATGTGATTATGGATTATGACCCAAAACCATTCTCATTGATGTTCAAAGAAGAAACCAAGTCAAGGGAAGAAGAAGCTGAAAATTTGGCTTCGTCTGAAAAAAACTCATAGGACCTACTTTGGGAGCTTATTCATTTTTTTGGGAGACATTTGAGGGAAGCTAGGTGTGGGTAATGAGAGTACAAGTCTTGATAAAAATCATGAAGGCGTTGGGTGAGATGATTGAAGCTTCCTGGAGACCAAACGAGCAACCTAGAGATCATATGGTGATCAGGAAAAATAATCTATCATGTGGGTTAAAATTCCCTATAGGGGATCTGAGGTTCGAGATATGGTATTTTTCTCCAACCTTCCCAATATATCCCTGCTTTTTTATTATTCCTTTTTTGCCCTCACCCTTATTCATCGACTCTCTCACTTTCATCTCTATCTCTTTCTTCCCTCGAGATACGAGGCTGGAGAAACAGCAACAGATTCTCACCTCTCCTCATCGGCGACTGCAGTAGAGTTTTACCGGCTCCGATCAACAACAACGTCGGCGGTCGCCTGGAAGTGCGTCCGATCTACAACTCCGATCTCACCAGCTTTGCGTTGGAGTAGTGCTTCGCACGCCTGAATAGAAGGTTGCTTCGGAACCTTTTCAGGGCTTGGCTTCCAGGTGTGTCCTCTGTTCCTCCTTTCTCGTTCTATGCTTGGATGGTTCTGGGTTGGGGGTCCTAGATTATGGATTTTTGTGTGTATTTAGGGTTATGGTTTGGGGTGCGAACTGATTATCTTCTTCCTTTAGGGTTTGGGTTGGGGTGCAAACGGATTATCTTCTTCTTCTAGGGTTCTAGGTTGGGTGGTGCGAACAAATTATATTCTTCCTCTAGGGTTCTGGGTTGGGGTGCGAACTGATTATCTTCTTCCTCTAGGGTTCTAGGTTGAGTGGGAACTGATTATCTATGTCTATGTCCATCAATTTGCTCTTCTTAAGCAGACAGCCACAGAACAAGAGCGCTTTATAGGCTTGGAGAAATTTATAATTGGTTTAACAAACTATAAATTGAATTCAATCTCAATTAACGAATTGAATTTTGAATATCATCGTATTATTCGTATATTCAATTTGCATCCCATATACTTTCATTGCTCCTCATTTTCGTTGGATGAGGCTTAATCTTACACCCTTTCTCCTAATCAATCGAGTCGACCCATGCCACTACTGTTGGTTGGCTATATATGCCTAGCTTTCACTTTTAAACCCTGGAATAATGTAGGTACGAATAGGATTAGTATGACTATATATGAACCCTATAAGAATAAACTATAGAAACTGGAAAGCTATAGACATTAGCTAATATAATAGAGAAGACATGCAAGGTATATGTTGATAAAGCATATCAAGTGGTCTAACAAAGGGATTTATAGTTAAAATCATCATAATCCCAATATAACGTAGGAACTCTGTACATGTACTTCACAGGCCACATATGATTACATACAAATGATCTTGTTGTTAAAAGCGAGTACCACTGAGTCCTAAAACTTGCAGGGTTGCGATGCATATTTCCAAGAGAAAAGATATTTCTTTTAATTATTTGATTGAATGTTTTGATTTAAGTGAATGGATGGTTTGGTGTATTGATTTGAGTGATGTTTTGATTAGATATGAATGGATGGTTTGATGAATCTGGAATGCATGAATTTCTTTATGTTGCATTAAGTGTTTGCTGTACTTATTTAACTAATATGAAGTTTTAATTTCAAAAGGATGTCTCAGCTGTCAAGGATGTCTTCAATGGAAAGACGTAAGCTGATTGTGGCGATTAGCGCATTTTGGAATCTCATTATGATATGTGTCGACTTAGGGATGGAAGTAATGAAATTAACAGTGATATTTCTTGTGAGTAATAGACTTGGTAGACAGCCCTTAGATGATTACGAGATGAAACACTATGATCGCCAACGAGTCATTTACAAATGTACCAAAATGAGTGATACTGAAAGCCATAGGAAGATCAGGATGAACCGTACATTATTCACAAACTTGTGTGACCTTCTAGCTGCTGAAGGTGGTTTGAAAAGAACAAGAAACATAGAAATAGATGAGATGGTTCTCACGTTCCTCTTGACTATTTCACATAGTGACAAAAATAGGAGTTAGCAGTAGATTTACATCGTTCCACAAGAACCATATATCGCTCCTTTCACCGATTCCACTAATAAAAGATGGAAGTATTTTAAGGTTTGCCAACTAAAACCTGTTCATACAATCTTCCTTTTGGAGTAGCTTTTCAAAATGTGTTGTTTTAACATTTATTTTTTCTTCATTGTCATAGAACTATTCGGGAGCTCTTGATGGGACCCATATAGATGTTCGACCATTCAAGGAAGAACGAACTAGGTATCGAGATAGGTCAGGCGATCTCACTATCAATTGTTTGGGAGTTTGTTCTCCCGACTTAGAGTTTGTCTACTGTTTTGCTGGATGGGAAGGGTCTACCCATGATGCAAGGGTCTTGGATGATGGCTTGAACAGGCCGAATGGTCTTGTTGTGCTAGAATGTAATTGTATTACAATCAATAAAACTAATTCGTATATGTGTAAAACTTTATTCAACTGTGTAGGAAATCTAATTCATAATGTTTTTTGGTTTAGGTTGTTATTATCTTTGTGATTCTGGATATGCTAATAGTCCTGGATTTTTTACCCCAATTTTGGGTCCAAGATACCATATTGATGAAAGAGGGGGGGGATATGCCGCAAACAGCCGAAGCATACTATAACTGGAGACATGCTCAAGCTAGAAACGTAATAGAAAGAATCTTTGGAGTGTTAAAAATAAGATGGGCAATCCTTAGGGAGTCAACTTGGTTTTCTGTACTTATTGTAGCTCGAATTGTGATAGCTTGTTGCATTCTGCACAATTTCATAAAGAAAGAATATGGAGTCGATATATATGAAAAACATTTCGAGACCAAGACATACAACAACATGGATCGAATGAAGTTGATATGGTCGAAATATCCAACAGTCAACCAACTGAAGCTTGGAATCATTTTAGGACTGATTTGGTCTCGGAGATGTGGCAAACTCGAACTGCTAGATTTCGAGCTTCTTCTTGAGTTTGATTTGTTGTTGTTTGGTTGTTTGGCTATTTTCATTTAATTTTGAGGACTTGTTTAGTTGTAATGGTACTAGTTTTATGCAGAATGAACTTCAGTCTTATCCCAATGAACTTCAGTTTATACAGAATGGTTCTGCCAGCACTTCAGTTTTATGCAGAGTGATTCTATCATGAAACTATAGTCTTAGTTGTTAGAATGTGACTAGAAGTACTGCTACTGTGTTATCATTTTGAGTATCAGGATAGGAATATGTGATGGGAGTTCAAATATCATTTGAGAGTGATTTGTAAATCTAGTTGTGCGGCAGAATTTTTTGATGATATCTCTCAGTTTTAAATGATAAAAAGCAACCCAAATAGGTGTGAACATAAATGTAGAGAACTTGTAAATGATGTAAAGCGCATACGTGGAAAGCAGGCAGAATCAAGATTTTGATCGTAAAATCGTATGATTTTAGGATTTTACTAAGGGATTCTGATCCTGATTTTACTATAAGATCGATGGACCTTAAAATCGTTTCAAATTGGGATTAAAATCGTACCAAAATTGGGATTAAAATTATACGAGAATAAAATGGGCGGTTTGAGCGAATTAAAACAAAAAATGGAATTGCTTTGGCGGAAAGGACAATGATGGGGATCTTCTAATATATTTTTCCTATTAAAAACATTTGAAAAGAAAAAGTAACCAAATCAAGGTTCGGTCAATCCCTTTCCCTTCGACCTGCTGAGCTCATCGGTAAAATAGTTTTCCTAATATTGTACGTATGGAAGAATTAACATCATTATTAACTAATCAATTGATTAATGAATATATTTGTACCTAGCTACTAGCATTAATTATTCTATTGGAGTTCATATATGCTTAGTTTTAAATCATGATTAGCATACGACGTTGAAATTAACCGAACCAGAGTACTGCTTTGAGTTAAACTAACTAGACACAAAATGAAAAACAAGAGTCAAGTCCCATGAGCTCTATATTTTCATCGTCAATTATTATGAGTTACGCATTAAATGACCATTAAAATGATGATTTTGGAACATAAATCTTGAGAATTATCATTTTAATTATTATGTGTATTTGTGTTAATAATGATTTACCTTGTTAATATGATCATATGTTAGTTTCTATATGGAACTTAAAATTCTATAATTTTATGATTTGATTTTACGATTTCAATTTTACCCCAGTTTTCAATTTTAGATAAAATCTCAATTTTGACTGCTTTGCATACGTGATCTTGTGAATAAAGAAATAAAAATCAGTTGCTGATTTATTTTGCTATAATGGTGAAATTAGTCATATTGCAATTTTATTTGAAAGAATCTGTCAATTTGATTGGCCTTGCTTGGGGATAGAGCAGGTGTTTATTGGGACCGTTGGATGGGCGCGAGCGTTTCATCTCGAGACTGGTCTGCCACACCCAACGGTTTCATCACGCTTCTTTTTAATCTAAATAGTTTAGCAATCTATTTTTCAAAGGTGTATGCATGACAGCATGGTTAGTGTTTGCAGTTCTGGTTAGTGTTTATGTTTGCTGGTAGACTGATTGGAGTAGTTTTCTCATTAGTTTTGTTTTGCAGCATGGGAAAGAGAAAGCAACGTAATGAGGATATGGATGGTGCTTGCTATAAGAATATACATACTGGAAAGTGGAACAAGACAAGCCGTTTGCTGATTGTATTCTGGAGCTACTAGAGAAGGGGCAGATCTTTGATGGCAACTACAAGAATGGGGCTTATAAGCAGTTAGAGAAACTGTTGCAGGAAAGAGTGTTTCGATGCAGGGTCAAAGCATATCCTAACATTGAAGGCAGGTTCAAATAAACTGAAGAAGAGATGGTATGCAATAACATTCATGAGGAAAACAAAGTGGTTGGGGATGGAACGAGGTCAATAAATGCATTGTATGTCGTGAGGGATCTTGGGATGAGTTTGAGAAGGTAAATTACAACATGATCTTCATTCTGCTTTGTTGTTTTTCAATAAAAAGAATGTATGTTAAGGATAGTAGGTTAGATATTTTCATTTCTATTTCTATTTTTGTCTTATAGAAGCACAAAAGCTGCAGAGGGTTGAACAAGAAAAGATTTCCCATCTACGATGACTTAGCACCAGCTTTTTGCAAAGGGCGTGCAAGTGGTGAGCACGGGGTCGACTCCAATGTTCTTGAAGCTACCGATTTAGAGGATGATGAAACTGCGCATGTCGAAAATGACGAAGTGGATGTGTTGATGGAGGAAATACAAGCAGAAATGGCATCACAGAATAATCAATCTGCCAGTGTTAATGCCTCAACCGATTGTGATACAATTAAGAAGAGAAAGAAAGGTCAGACAGTCGATGAGCACCTCGCCAAATCCTTTGGGGAAATGAGAGAACTTCGACCACTGATTAAGCAATCAGTTGACAGTATTGCAAGAGCACTCGAGGGAGCAATCATCTCATTAGCAAGAGATCGAATATGCTTAGGAAGCTGGAAGAACTTAGAGGCCTCACAATAATTGATATCATTACTGCATTGCAGAAGCTCTCTAACAACGATAGGGACCTGGTGACATTCTATTTGTTGGAGGCTAATGAAAATAAGATGGATTTTGTTAGGAAATTGCTTGGATGAAGGCGAATGTTTAGGATGAGCTGGAATTATCTATATTAATATGCTTATGAATCAAACTTTGAAGGTTATTCTTCATGGTTGTAATCTCAGCTTGTGTGTTGAGCTTTTTTGGGGATATATGTTTCTCTAGGAAGTAGCAAGACATGTATTCTGAGTTTGATATTATGCCAATGTTTGTTAATTTTACAGCTTATCCATTAAGATGTGTTATCTAGCTCAAGAACAATTGAGTGAGGTATCATTTTACCTCTGACCATGCCAATAGGATGTGTTATCTAGCTCAGGAACTGTAAGCAACATATAAGTTTTAATGTTGGTACCACAGATGGAATGATTAAGGGAAGTTTTTGGTTTTTTTTCTGTTCACATCTTATCCAAGAGTGGACTTACTTGCCGGTACCACAGATGGAATGTTAGGCATTTGCTTTAATGCTTCGAATCAATCCTCCAGTGTTGTCGACTCCATCGTAAAGATGCATGCCACCACAACGATTGCGGATATTAGTAAACACAAGTTTAATTGTGATAAGAGAATGATTAGTTGCTGGAGAAACTGTTGAATTGTGCAATATTTCAGCTTTGCACATTGGCCTACATTGTCTTTTTCTTCTCTAGTAAGTCAGCAGACCCCCATTGTTCAGCTTTATCATCCTTTTCCTTCTGAGCCATTATAATAATTCCAAGTAATGAAGCTACTAATACCTTATCAAAGCTAGATGTTATCTCCTGGTTTCTTCTAACTCCTATCTTGTGGGAAGATACTGATAAAGTTTGAAATATAATTTTAACTTGTGGGAAGATACTGATGAAGTTTCTAACTCCTCATAATCTTGCACGTTGCACTTCCACTTCCACTACAACTCAAAAGCTCCATGTTATCTTTTACAATCGGAACAGAGATTAGAGGAACAACACTCTTCTTTATACATCTTTTCCCTGTGAGAAACATACCCAACAAGTTAACAATGAGTCCACTATTCCAAGGTTCACTTAAAACCAGCAAAATCTAGACATTTCATAATGATAATTACATAAAACCAGCATAACAGAAGTACTCACTCAGATATACAAAAGTCTAATACGGATATGAACCCACAAACCAAAACCCGAACAAGAAAGAAGAGGAAAAGGAGAGAGACAGTGGAATAAAGAAACAGGGGAGAGAAAAGCACATGCAAATTCAACAAGCTCATTAGATACACAACCACGGAGACGACAACGAAAGCGTCGGATGCTGGGACGGAGAACCCAACGCAGGTGACCAGCGACTGCAAATTTGCAAGGGCCATCATGGGCTGCCATTAGGGGGAACAAGAGTGTTCCTCATAAATAGGGTCTGGCCGCCATTAAGGTGGCTTCTTCAAGAAAGGTCAGCGTCGGTGTAAATGTCCATCGCCAGTGGTGTTTTTGCCAAGACGCCGACAGGGATGTTCCAGAAGCAGATCTGCAAAGAAGAGAGTGTACAGGGGCAAAATCATAATAGGGCGACAAGGCTCAACACCAACCCAAACTGACATCAAGACCATCAAATAACCACCAGCCCCAAGACGGGACAAGGGCTCCCAAGGAGATGGTTACCAACTAGTCATCAAGGCGGTGACAAAGGGCCCCGATGCGGTTTGGAGCAAGAGGCCAACTAGTAGTTACAAAGGCGGTTACCAAGGCAGTTACACATAGTGGCTATAAATAGGAGAAACTAATATTGTAAATGGGTTCCACAACCAAACATTTGACACCAGTCAAACTCTATCTTTTTATCTGCAATGTAGGCATAGTTGTAGCCTTTAGTTTCTAGAGCTCTCATTGAACCTCCATAAGAGTAGGGTAACATAACTTAGTTTTCTTAGTCATCAAAATCATCAAATACCCTCGGTCGAACATTGTTCGAAGAGGTGTGAACCGTGTTATTGTCGTTGTTCAAGAAGTCAAAGGTGCATTTATTGAAATCAAACACCAGAGATTTTCCTTGCCAAAAAACAAATTAGCACACCTGATGGGACAACTGTGTGTTTGATTTGATGGCTCCTAGGCGAAAGAATAAAAAGATGATCTTCCACAAGGTGCTGTGGAGGAGGAAAAAATGGCCATTGGTGAAGCAGGCCAGTCGGAGGATCTTCAGGCAACCTTGTCGTAGCGGAGGTGCCACTCACGTTGGCACCAAGTGTATATATCGGTGAAGCAGTGGTGTTCCTTTGCCAAGCCATGGAGGAGAATCGCCAGGACATGGAGCAGAATCACCAATTCATGGAGGAGAGTTATGATGAACTTGTTAGAAGTTCACAACTGACAAGTCTCAAACCTGCTTCTCTTAGTTCTACCTTAGATAGACGGTTGGATCAATTATTTTAAGTAGTTATAAAAAATAAAAATTGTTTGGATAAGTTTAAAAATGATTTTATTGAACCAGTGTTGCAATCAAAGATTTTGCCGCAAATTGGTGTAGATCCAATACCAAATAATACTATTGTGTGCAAAAATATTTCTCCCTTAGGTGGCCGAACTACCCAACCACAGTTAGAGAACTCGTCGCTTCCGGTGACAATGAGTCAACCACCTCTTCAACAAGATGTTTATGACGAGAATCTTGCTAACATGTTTAGTAACCACGTAAGGAAACCGCCTGTGCAGACAATTACTCATAAAACTGTCTTAGAGGCCAGACCATGCTTGAACGTGAGAGTTGGTGGAGGGTTAATAGCTATGGATGTGCTACCACAATCCTTGCCAACCTCGATGCCATCTATGCTCAAGCGACCTGGTGGATGCAACCCGTCAGGGGGGCAGGCAGAGGGCCACGGAAGTCTACCAACTGACAAGGTGAAAAGTCAGGCTGGGGGCAAGGTGATGTTGGGAAAGCTGGACAAAGGGTTTTGTCTATATGCACACCACGAATTTCGTCTAAGTATGGCAAAGGGAGCATGTCACCAACTGCAAGTAGTGGGTTGACAATTTTGCCCAAGAAGCTACAACAAGCTCAAGCCACATGTGTTTCTAGTAAAAGTACTAGTGTGACTGAGTGTGGCAAGGGGGGCATGTCAGTGACCATGAACAATGGCATGGAGGGATATCTCCATATCCATGCAGTGGACAAGGGGCATGTCATCAAATGTGAAGAAAAGAGTGAAGGGCAAATCTAGGAGTGATCATCACACTTAAGCAACTCAAAAAATTTCTAAGTATGAGAGGGTGTTAAGAGATGGACAAAGAAGCAAGTTTGTGTCTAACAGCCTTCATGGCAGACAAAGGGGCATGCATAAGATACCTTGGTACACACCAACCAGGCATGGTCCTTCAAAGGACCAAGGGTGGTTATGTGTTGAGTGTAAAAGCCAGCGAGGCATAGGGGATGAAAGTCAAACTGGCCACAAGAGTGATTGTCAATTCGTGAAGCCCAAACACTGGTCTTCCCAACCATGTGGGGAGAGTGAACATGTGTCAAGTTGGCGGAAATCAAGGCAAAAGACAATCCATGGTCACCTTGATGAGTCAAATGAGTTGAGAATGCCTAGTGTACCCCCTGGAGGGAGGCAAACACATCAGGTTTGACATTTAGAACCCAACATGTCTAGTAAGTTGGCTAAGGCAGAGGATCATAGGACCCCTTACAAGCCCACCATTCGTTGTTAAGTTGGAAAATTCAAAACCAACACCAAAAGAGTCATTCCCCCAAAAGGAGGGAAGGAGAGTAGTGTATGGATGGCCAAAGGGTATCGAGTGACGTGATGTCTGTCACTCTCTATTACATTAAAATAAATAAATAAAATAGTAGTAAAATAAGAGAAAAGAATCCAATCATGGCTAAAAAAGAAGTTAGAGTTGTAACACTTGCGATGTGAAGACTTTACCATGACTGATCAACAACGAGTCATGTGGCTAGGTCTATGGATCCCCTTACGCTCTTATGAGTACACCATGATACTTCATCGCATGAGTAGCTGACTAGGTGCCCGACATGGATCATTTACCTTCCATGCCACCCGTCCAAGGATGCCTACTTGTTGAAAGAGGATGGGGTGCTACATGATCGATTGATCAGTGGTAAGTATCTCAAGCCCTATGTCCCTTCTCTATGGGACGCACGGTGTTACCAGATTCAAAGTTAGCTGGGCACCATGATGGCCATCATGCCAAGCCTTCTACACCCTAAGGCAGGGCATGATACTCTTTTGATAAAACAATGGCTTGAGTAGCTAGCCATGATATGGAAGGGAAATTGAGCTAGTTAACTTTTATTACCTTTGTTATGACCTAGCATTCTATAAAAGGCTACGGGTGCATGGCTTTGTAATGAAAGACAAAATTTGGCTAAGGAAAGTGGTGATGAGATAAGTGTTACTTTTAGGTGGCCTAGTTGAGTTCAACAACTTAGTGCATAATACCTATACACTAAGTTGTAGGAGACATTTGTTTACACCTAAAAATTAATCTTGTAACACATCGATTAACTATAAGAGATTTAATGGATTTATAAGACCGGCTCGACATTAATTAATAATTAAAAGAGCTAGCTAGGCCTTGTTGGGTTGGATTTTTGGGCCTAAGTGGCTAAACCCCTTCTCCCCTATACGATGGCCGACGCGTCTCCTTGGACCCCATAAACGGACGATGCCTCCACCCTTTTGTATGAAATTTGGCTGCCAAAAACTAAGTCTGGAAACTATGGAGGCACAACGGGGTGCCAAACGATCGGGTACCAAGCCGGGGGTCATCCAAAAACTAATTCTGGAAACAAGGCGGCACAACAAGGTGCCATACGACTGGGTACCAAGTCGGGTACCAAAAAGGGGGGCCATGCAAAAACTAAGTCTGGAAACAAGGTGGCACAACGGGGTGCCACACGATCGGGTACAACAAAGGGGCCATAAAAAAACTAGGTCTGGAAACAAGTCGGCACAATGGGGTGCCAAACGACTGGGTACCAAGCCGGGTAACAAATAGGGGGCCATTCAAAAACTAAGTATGGAAATACGACGACACAATGGGGTGCCAAACGACTAGGTTAAAATCCAGGTACCAAACAAGGTGCCATAGCAATAGGGTACCAAGTCGGCAAGACAAGGCTTGGTATCAAGACACCAACAATGTATCAAGCTAGCAGGGCGACAAGGTACCAACTTGATGAGATTCTAAAAGCTAAGTATGCAGCCAACAAGGTACCAAGTCGGTAAGGCAGGGCTTGGTACCATGACATGGAATTTGGTTAAGTATGGAGCCAAAGGGGGTATCAAGCTGACAAGGCAAGTTTGATACCAAAAGACATGAAAATTGGCTAAGTATGGAGCCAACAGAGTACCAATTCGACGAGATAGGCTTGGTAGCCAGGCAACAGGGTACCAAGATGAAAGATGCTTGGTAGGCTGAGGGTACCAAGCTTGCTAGGCAGGGTTTGGTACTAAGACATGAAAAACATAAATTTGGCTAAGTATGGAGCTACGGGGGTACCAGGACGGTAAGGCAGCCTCGGTACCAAGACCCCTAGAGGGTATCAAGCCGACAAGACAGACTTGATATCAGGTTACCAAACCTTCCAAAAAACTAATAAGTATGGAGATCAAAGGGTGCCAATCCGATGAAGAAGTGACAAGGTGGCCATCTGAGGTGACTACCCGGTTGGGTACCAAGTAATCATGAACATGATGTAGAGCTCCCTAGGGGGGCTATATGGAGACTAAGTCCCAAGATGGGCTTGGTGGCTCCCTAACACGGTACCAAGCCAGCAGGCTGCAAGGTACCAACTTGGTAAGATTACAGTCTCTCTAAGATTAAGTGTGGAGACTTAGGGGGTAAAGGGGCCAAGTTCTCATCCTGTCCAGGTGGGTAATATGGTCTAGCTATCAAGACGATTCATCGAGGTGGCTAGTAAGATGAGGAGCGTGGAGTCGTCAGGGCTGTCGAGGATGTGATCAAGACTTCATCACGGAGGCTAAGCCAAAGAGGATCAACCCTATCCAGTCATGACAGGGCGACAAGGCTCAATACCAACCCGACCCGACATCGAGACCATCAAATACCCACCAGCCCCAAGACGGGACAAGGTCCCCCAAGGCGACGGTTACCAACTAGTCACCAAGGCGGTGACAAGGGGCCCCGAGGCGGTTTTGAGCAAGAGGCCAACTAGCAAGTTGATTGTCCTCTTCTGGAGATGGAAGACGGAATTAAAAAGAAGGAAAGATTAGGGCATTCTTGGAATTAAAAAGGACCAAGTCCTTTGTCTTCTTTCTCGGATCCATGAATGGAGCGCTGTGTTTTGGGATGAATAAAAAGGACACATATTTGGAGAGACAGCGGAGGGGGACTTTTTGGACGAAATTCTTTTGGGGAGGAGAACAGCAGCAGCGTGAAGCGACCAGCCAGAACAGCAGTAGCGACGAGAGGAACAGAGAGAACTGAATAAACAGGGCTCGAGTAGAAGCGTATCGCGACGAGAAGCAGTTCAGCCCTGCGATCATCAGTGATCTCCGGAGTGAATTATTTCTAATTTTTTATCCTCGATTAATACTATGATGATTATAAACATGATTGTGTGTTTTATTTTCGTCATGAACTAAAACCCAATTTCTGGGGGAAACACCATAGGATGTAGCTATTTTTATAATTGATGGATTGATTCATATTTCTCTTCTTCCAATCTCTATTGCATGGAATTGCTTAATGCTTTGTGTTGACTAGCCACCAATATAATTAATCGTAGTTAATTAGGTTATTAGCAACACTGAAACCCTATTAACTGAACATATTTCATGTGACATAGTAACTTATCGAAGCGACAATGGATTAAATAAGATGTTATGCGGTCTTGATTGGGATATCGGTCTTCAGGCTAAATAGTTAATTCATTGAGCTATGTCGGTAGGATTTGATTTAATTGTTTAGTACGTAGTAATTCTCTACAGGGATAGCTAGCACAGTAGAGATATCCTAGCTGTAGAGAACTGGATTAAACTGATTAGAATATGTGAATTACTTTGGATATGATAGATAATGATTCCAGGTGTTTCTCCCAGAGCTTTCTCCATTGAATTTCTCTCGACAACTTTAGTTTTCTTTGTTTATTTCTTTTGCATTTAGAAATTAATATTATTCTTAATCCTTTTTTTCACTGATAGTTTACTCGATAGAATTGATAGAACTTAAGGTTATATCAGTCTCTGAGAGACGATACCTGAATTTTCGATTTTACTACAAGATAGGAATTGAAGCATTGCGCTTTTGCCCTATCAGTATTGAAGGAAACTTTTATCAAACAAGTTAATTGTATGTATTAAAGGGAAGGTTAAATAATGAGTTATTACTTTTGGTTTCCTTCCTTAAGAAGATTCTCAACCTTCCACCAAGAGGGGAGGTTTGAAGGTCTCATCCTATATAAATAGATGAGTTGCCTAGACCTAAAAGAGAAATAGAGAGCGCAAAAACACAAAGAGAGATTCAAAGAGCTCCGATTTCGCACAAGCCGAGAGAAAACAAAGAGTGGTTGTTTTATCCTGCAGGTGACCAGCTGATAGTCTGTCGTGCGCATTACAAGGCAGTGCCGCGAACGTCATACAGAAAGTGACATAGTCTGCAACTCGAACAGATTCGGTAACCACTGTTTCAATAGTTCGGTTCTTACAAAGTATAATGGTATATGTCCCCTAATTTGAAAATTTTAATTGTATCCGAAGTATTTTAGCCTGTAAATTTATACGATACATTTTATGTAAGGAAGAAATTAACATTTTAGCTAGGAAATCAACGGTAAAGGAAACTTGATGTGGATTCTAGATCTTCTTAGGGGTCGTTTGGAGAACGAGATTTAGGCCGTGGATTCATTGAATCCGTAGATTTTGTAGAAAGTTATGTTTTTTTGTTGCTTTTTGTATTGTGGATTTTAGCTTTAGAGATTTCAAATCTCTAAAATCTATGGATATTAAATCTCTCATAATCATAGAGATTCTATATCTTGATTCATGAGATTTTTTTTGCTCCTACCTTTTCTCTTTCTTTTATTTATTTATCATATTAAATATATTTACTAACAAAGTTTTTAATATTTTTCGAACTACTCTAATTTTTTATTAAGGATAAACATGTTATTTAATATAAATTTTTTATTTTTATTATCATTGAATGTTAACAATCACAGTTACCAAACAATAAACATTTTAAAATCTATTTTCAACAATCCGAAGAGTTAGAATCTTTAGATTGTTTACAATGTATAGATTTAAACTCATATTTTCCAAAGACTCCTTAATGTTCCCGTACTATACTATCATTTTGGCCCTTTTCCGTCCCTTTGCTTGATTTTGCGTCCGTATTTTCTTTATCTATATCTAGTTGTACTTCTAGGCTCCACTCTTCAATTACACGCTAATCTGGATTCTTGATGCATGATGAATATAGTATCAAATGAATTGACAATTTATTTAATTGTCAAATGAATTCATGTATTTGGTATGTCATATTCAAATATTAAATTTAAAATGAATTGAATTTTCAAACCATGTTCGACATACGTTTAGAATTGAATAAATTAAAAATTTCCAACTACACCCTTATTAATTTCTGGCAGAAACAATATTCATTGAAAATCCATCTTCTAAAAAACACCTTGGTCTCATACATAGAATATCACAAGTGTTCTTGTGTTTCTATTATATTCATTAGTTTTTTTATAATATTTGTCGAGGAACCCTATGCTCTAGTTGTGGCTTCTCAACGTACTGATACAATTGAAACAGAATGTCAAATAACCAGCATATGATACTAGCATTGCAATCAAATTCTTGTCAATGTTCCTCATGCTGCATGAATTGGCACCGAATAATAAATGTAAAAGTAATTTAGTTAATAAAAAATGAGGATAATTAAGTAATTCTATTATAACTAGTAAATACTTGTGAAGTTCATTTGGAAATTGCATCTCAATTTATCGGAATTGCTATAACTAGTTCCAATTCCATAGGATTCAAAATTTAGAATTGAAAATGAATTAATTTAAAAACCAAACAAAAAAAAAATTCATTTCAAAATGAATTATTCAAAACTTATTGAATTCATTTGTACCAAACGGTACGCTTAGTTATTGTAGCCAGCTTAATAGGTTTTGGTAGGAGTTCTACTTCTGTCGAATGCAAGGAAAATGATGTTGGAATGTATTGAGAATATTTGAGATGTGAAGTTTCTGCTGTATTGTTCATTGTCCTAGTGGTTGCAGTTTTGGTTTGCAGTCTTTGCTACTTTCAAAATCATTAGCATGTGCGGAATGGTTCCTAATCAACAACACTTTCACCTTTATCATCAGTCATCACAGATAAACTATCATGGTGGTGAACGCTGCATTGTAGTTTAAATGATGGAATAAGATTTAGAAGAAAATTAAGGCGTAACACAAACAAAGTGAAGAAGCTTGTCAAACTTGCATTTAACACAAACGAAAACAGAGAAGACACCTTCCTCTGTTTTTCTTTTTTTGTTTTGGGTAACCTGAAATGTGGATAATAGGAAGAGCAGCATCCTGTTATCTAGTTACAGAGCTCACGAGCAATCCCCACCACAGAGTTCTTGACATCGAACAATATCCTGAGGTTCTGCTGCTGCAGATTGGCTATCACATTCAGCACCGAGTTCACGTTATTCGGCGCCGCCGCCATCGACAGGCACGCCACCGTCCCGGAGCTGCTGTGAATCAAGCTGTTCTCCATCGGCAGCGTCAGGTTCAGCCCCTCGAACCGCAGCGTGATCGCCGGCGCCTCCGCCGCCTCCCCGAAACACGTGTCGAACGCTCCCAGGCTGGAGAAGGGACCCTTCACCTGCTTCCTGAACTCGTCCCGTATCGCCGCGTACACGGGCTCCACGAACCGGGTTATCACCGTGCCCGAATCGATGACCGTACCCGCCCCAGTACTCGGGTCGAACGCCAGCGATTTCGGGTCGACGGGCACCCTGACCCGACCCACGCTGATTCCGGTTAGGTTGACGTAGTAGAGCGAGGGGCGGTGCGGGTTCTTGAGCAGCGGGGTGGTGCGGATGGACTTGGGCTGGCCCACTGGGCCGAGTTTAAGCGAGCCGGAGAAGTAGTAAGATCTGAAGCTGGGCAGGCAGTAGGAGAAAACCCCCGAATACAGCGGCCCAGTCTGGGAGAGAAGCGAGAGAGGGCCTCGGCCCAGGCCCAACAGTCCCTGCGGCGGGATGGACCCTCCGGAAACGGAGCGGACGCACCCAAACGCGAAACCCGGGACGACGTCGTTCCCGAGGGTCAGGGAGTCGGTGACTAGAGCGGCGGAGAGGGAGGAGTCCCCGCCGTAGGACTGGTTGAAGAGACACGTGGCGGGTTCGGGTCCGGTTGCGGGGCATGAGGACCCGCCCCGGACCTGGGAGCACTGGGCGACGGAGCAGTCGAGGGAGCCGAAGGTGGAGGAAGCGTTGGGGGAGAAGGCGGCGGCCGCGGAGGAGGAGGAGCAGCCGGAGCAAGGAGAGCAAGGGACGAAAGAGGCGTCGCTGCTGGTGTCGAGGACCATGGCGAAGGTTTGGGCCGGGCTGCCGAGTTTGACCCGGACGACGTAGTTGGCGGTGTTGAGGAGGTGTTGGCCGGGGGCGATGGGGGCGACGGCGGCGGCGGAGGCGGAGACGAGGGAGGTTAGGCGGGCGGGGTCTTTGGCAGCGAGGTGGTTGACGGTGTCTAGGAGGGAGGAGGTGGCGACGGCAGGGGGTGGGGGAGGGAATGGGGAGCATTTGCTGTAGATGGGGATGACGGAGAGGCGGGAGGGGTCGTCGGATGGCTGAGAGCATGTGTCGGCGGCGGCGGAGGAAAGGAGAAGGGAGAGGAAGAGGAAAACTGTTGTGAGAAGGGCCATGTTGGCGACGAGCAAGCTGCGGATAAGGTGATTTTTTCCCCACAAGTGTTTGTGCATGAAACTTTCTTAAGATATACATATATGTATATATACGTGGAAGAGATGAGGTGGGGAGATTTTTGTTATTTATTATTCTTTTCTCAAAAGAAATATTATTAATTGGTTATTCTCTTACGCGACCGTTAGTCGACAACAGCGCTTGCTTGCTAATTGTGTGTGCATGCATCCTTTTTGTGGATATAGTGTTGAAAGACGATCATGGTGACTGGTGAGTGTCCTCAAACGATGAATTTTATGGGTGTCTTCAATCATGTTTGCAAGAGGACCTGGCTAGAAACTTAAATGTAGTAGTGATTGATAAGGTTAATGATGATGGCACAATGTAGGAAGTTGAATTTGGTATATGGAATCATTTCAAAATAAATTCATTGTCTTCTTGTGTTGTATCCTACTCTTAATTCATGTTTAATTATTTTAGGAAGTGGTGGATCCATGGAATTTTAGGGTATTCCGTCCCGGAACATCCCCTAATATTTGGTAAAAATTATTGATCCTCCGATAGTATTTTGAGTTTAGAACAAGAGCAGATTCAATGTCATTCAGAGTATTCGAGACACCGCTAACATCTGTGAAGAAAAGATAACAAATAAGTAGTCTTTATAATTAAAACCTACAACACTGTAATAATTATTGGAGAAAATATTATACATTACACTAGAAACCATTTGTTGTTATGTTTAAAACATAAATGCAATGATAATCTATAACAAAGTCCGATTACACCCAATTCCTCAATTTTTATCCAAACTCAGACAAAATAAATTATCAATCCCCACCACCATTATGATGTTGACAAAACTCGCATCATTACCATGTTTTATTGTTTTACTCGGCTATTGACTTGTATGACTTGTTTAGCACGGAAAACGAGTTTACTACCTTTGACAAAGAGAAGCTAATAAGACTTTTCATCCTAATGAGTTTGGTCACCCTTCTTACTCATTTCTTTTAGGACAGTTTGAGAATTATTATCATTATGCAAAAAATGACGAGTTATTCTTTAGATTAAAAGAAATTGGTGAATTAGGTTAGCTTATGGTGAAGCAAAGGTGATTCTATCATATTCAAAGGATTATTTGCTTATCAAAATTGTATTGATGGTATCAGTTGCAATTGCAGGTGTTGAAAGATGTTTTTTCACGTTTAGACAACATTAATAATAAGTTTCAAAATCGAATAGTCAATTAATTCGTGAATGATTATCTAATATGATATATTGAAAAAGATTTTTTTCGTAGAGTACCATTGCGACTAAGTGTATTTTACTGTTTTTTCATAATAAGAAAACATGTCGTGGTATTTTTTAGTTTTAAATTTTGAATTATTATTTCAATTTCAAAAGAAGACACTCGTACGAAAAATTTCTCGGCCGCTACTGATTTTGGGTAGAAGGCTTAGTGGCATCATCAAAAGATCAGAGGAAAGAATATAGTTTACCATTTACAAAAGGCTAACTAGCAATCCAAATTCTTCACAAGTAATATAATTTTCTAACTACTCTTTGTGATCAACGAGTTTAAAACACCCAACATGACACTTGATATGAATTATCATGTTGGTCATGCAAAACCTGGCAGCTATATATAGATGGTGAATAAGTGCGGGCAATATTATCTGGTCATACCTAGCTATACATCCAAATTCTGATTTGGTTTAGTCGGATTAATTCTCTCAGCTAGCTTTTCAAGTGAATACTTTACGAGTCATTAGTCCACTTGATGTTTTGAGGCAACTTAATCCATTCGATCTAGTTCATAAGTATTGGCCTTGCCTTTTTAATTCAGGTTGGACACCGCCAAAGAAAAGAAGGGGTGCTCGTGAACCATGGATGGACTGGAGTGAGTCCATAAATTCGGGCAGCTAGCAGTAATGATGCCAATGCCATTATACGCCAATTCCATGATATGATGACTGATTTGAATTGGAGAAGAGGACAGAAGAGAAGCCCTGTGTAGTTTTGTCCCTAGCTAAACTAGTATATATTCAAGAACAGCACACAACACGGGCTGATGTCGGCAGGTCACGGGAGGCAATGTGCACCAATTGACACACTAAACTTTTCCATGCAGATAGGAATGCGACTCCAGCAGCTGCCCCGCCACCGCTAATCAATTCACATTCTGCTTGCTCAATGCCACCCTGTTATCCTCACTTTTTTTTTTTGGTCATAGATACTTCTATTGAAGAATGAACGAAGACGTCGTCGTATTTCCCCCCGGAAGCAAGTGAAGAGCTGGGTACAGACGACATCGTTTCCATTAGCTATAGTTCTCTTTTCCGTTTTTTACTGTACAGCTTACGTGTTCTTCTTAGATTTGTTGGTAGTTTTGATTTCTGTTTGTGTTGACACCTAAAATTATTTTGGCCGAAATTAAATGCCGCATTAATTAGTCTCGACATTTAATTCGATACCGCGGGTAAATAACGGTGTCGTTTGGAGTCGAGCGGCGTCGCGGAGAGTTAAAACGATACCGCGAAACAGAAAAATGGTACCGCCAGGAAGCTCAGCGGTACCGCGGCACTGGAAACGCCACCGTTTACCAGAAAACAAGATGGGGGCCGCGCGCGTAGTATTGGTGTTGGAAAAGGAGTTATTTTTATTATTTTTATTTTTATTCCTTCTCGGAAGGGGAGAAGCGGCACCGCATGGAGACAAGAGGCATCGCGGAGAATTAAAACGGTACCGCGGATTTAAAAACGATGCCGCGAGAGCCTTGATAAGTGGTACCGATGAATCCGTCCAGCCCAATGCGAGTGCAAACTCGCGGCGTTTCCATGAATTGGTATTTTTTGGCTGTGTTATCAGTGTCGTTTAATTAAAAACGGTACAGAGAGTAAGCCCAACGGTACTGCGACACTAGCAAACGACAATGTTTAATAAAAAACAATGTCGCGAAAGGAAGAGTAAACAGAGCCGTTTTGGCGCTAATGATGTCGTTGGTCAACACACGAGTGTGACTAGTGGCCGGATTAATTAATTAACATTTTTAATGATTATTTAAGACAGTGTCGTTTAGTTGAAAATGATGCCGCAAGAGGAAAGAAACGACACCGCGGATTAGAATTCGATACCGCGAGTAAGCCCAACGATGCCGTAATAGTTAAAACGACAGTGTTAAATTTAAAACACTGTCGCGAAGCTCAAATCTCAACGACATCGCGGGACTAGAAAACGATGTTGTTTAACTAAGAACGGCGCCGAGGGATGAGAGTTTGACGGCGAGTTAATAATGAGACCTGATTTAATTAATTAGTATTTTATAATTATTTTAGACGGTGTCGTTTAGTTGAATACGACGCCGCGGAAGGTAAAAACAACACTGCGGTACTAGGAAAGAAACAACATTGTTTAGTCAAAGACAATGTTGTAAGAGTTTAACAATGCCGTGAAAGTGATGTTGTTTTGCCCAGAACAAGGTCGCGAGCTCGACGACGTTGATGAGCTTTAGATCAGTGTTGAGAAACTCAACACCGTCGTGAATTCAATAAAGTTGGGCATCAGTGGTGGGAATTCGACGATGTCGGGATACTAAGAGCTACGTTGTTTAGAGAGCAATGTTGTAAGCCATGAATCACCATCGAAAGTGACATTGATATTGTGAGTGCATCGATGTTGCAAGGCTGGGAGCTCAGCGTTGCGGTGTTGTTTGTATACGCCGCCGTTTTATGAACAAGGATGAATGTAGTTTGGCTTGAGGAGTCGGGGTGGATTATCAAACCTGGGTGGATAACTACAAGGGTGGCTCAATGTTGTTTTGCCAAGTTGCTGCGTAGAAGAGCGGTTTCGCATTTGTGGGAGTTACACAACAAGGAGGAGGTTACCTGCATGGTTGACAGGGATGAAGACGTGGGAGACAAAGGCGCGAAGGCAGTTACTACGACTACGGGGAGAAGAGCGAAGTATAAAGATTGGAAAGAGATAGAAGCTCCGGACGGCAAAATCAAATCACAAACTGCACCGTCGCATAATCTTTCTTTTTTCTCTAGTTTCGTAGAACCGCTCTGTCAGAGAAATCCTTTGCAGAGTCGTAGTCATAGCTTGTAGTCGTAGTCGCGGAGCTCTCTAGAGGAACCTCCATAGGAGTAGAGGTAACGTAACTTAGAACACTCCTGGTTTGATTTTCTAGTTATTCGCCGAACACCCTCGTTTGAACGTAGTTTGGAGAGGTAGTGAACCGAATAACGGTTGTTTGATTAGAAGTCAAAGGTGCATCGATCAAATCAACATCGCCGACGCCGGCGGTGGATATTTGACGGTCATCTTGGTTTCTGTTCGATCGATCAAATCAACAGTGCCGACATTCGGCGGCGGATATTTGACGATTGTGTTGACTTTGTGTTTGTGTCTACTTGAAAACAGTGCGGATTGAACGCGCGAGTTTCGCCAACGAAACAAATTGGCACTCCTGGTGGGACACGTGTGTTCGAATGGCTCCGCGACGGAGGAATCACGAGGGGGATCTTCCAAAAACTTCAGTAGAGGAAGAGCAAATGATCAATGTAGAGATTGACCAGGGTGGCGGTTCAAACGGCGGTTCGAGCAACGAAGCCGGAGGGGAAGTTCCAGCAGTGGCGCAAACTGCCGACCAGGGTGAAATAACGCGCATGCTTCGCCAAGTCATGGTTGATAACCAACAGGTAAAACTTCACCTAGCCTCTTTGGATGGACGTCTTGATGGTCTTAGCTCTCGGATTGATAGACGAGTTAGCCAATTGGTTGAAGTCGTAGATAAAAACAGAATGGATTTTGAAAGTAGCAGACGTGATTTTAATGAGTTTATAGAGTTTTTGAATAGGCCAGTGCCGCAAACAAGGGCTTTGCCGTTAAGCGGCGAGAATCTGTTACACAACAAAACTGGCTCCAATAGCTTTCCGGTCAATGGCGATCAAGATACTCAGGCGAGTCAGGGCGTTCCGTCGACACCGGTGGTGAATCCAACAAGTCCGTCGAGAGTAAATGTTGGCGAGACCAGCACTGCGGCTAACACTCGAGTTGAAC